ACTGGGAAGGGTTATGGTCGGTGCGTCAGTACAATAGGTGCTAGCTTGTGGTCCCCAGGTAGTTGAGACAATAATTTTGATTTATTTCTGGATTATTACGAGCTTGACTGACTTGAGGAAGGGTAGCGGTAAGAAGAGTAATGATTCCAGTAATCAAGTCTCAAGAGCTCTGCGCGTTTCTTTGTCGTCCCTTCTGAATCGGTTTACTTTAGGTCTTTGTCAAATTGTGCTTCATGTATGGGCATGTTGTGTACAATTCTCATCGTTGAGAGAGTTTCGTATTTCCAACTTGAAGGTTGGGAACCTCTACACATGCATAAAATTGTTGGTAAATAGACCAAACCCCCCCCAAATAAACCTAAAGATAAAGCCCAATCCTTATGGCTGATTATCTGTTCACTGATCAAGGGAGGCATCTACGTATACCCTAGTGGAATTACTTCCCTCAATTTAAGGTAGCATCGCGCACACTTCTAGCATACAAAGCAGAAAGCTCCAGCAGAGAGAAAAATGTGTCACAAGTGGACTGGCAGCGAGAATACATCGCTTTGACCCGGCTGGCTGGTCCTCGAGAGACGGCTGAGATCAGATCCTATGAGCGACTGAGAACAGCATTGACTCAGTAGGCACGGATGTATCTGGAAAGTCTAAACGGGCTCTTGGATGTGTGCGATTTGCGGCCAAAATTGCTAGAATTCTTTTACTCATTGCCCTCTTACCTGGGTATGGGCTGACTGTTGGTTTTCCCAAGGGTTTCCAGGCCCTGCCAGTTCAGAAGGCCTGCTTGATCCCAGTTCCACTGTTCCTAAAGCCTTTGTCAGACATGTGTGGGCCCCCTATAGACCTTGAACAACCGAGGCCCCGGAGACAGCCATCATAGACCTCATTTCTACAGTAGTAAGGGCCTTATTGTACGAGTCGAGGATCCCTACACAGCTGTACTGATGCCTAGATCAGATTTACAGGACGAAGGGCCTTATTTTTTGTATCTAGGACCCTGAGACCGTACTTTGAGAAATTCATTCTTGTGCTGGGGTTGGGAGTCAAGTTCCTTGCAATTGCCTCGAGCAGATTCGAGCTGGTATTTAACCCACTTGCCCTAACCATTTGGAAGAATGTTGCAGTGACTCTCGGATTCTCTGTCCTTCATCTCCATTATTCAGTGCCCCTGCAATATGGGTTCTCATATGACTTACTTCTCATCTTGTACACATGCTCTTCTGTTATCCTTCAGTCATGCCATGCTGTTTCATATTATCAAACCATCTGTTTTGTCTTCCTCATTCCATGGCAGATTGCCCAATACTCATGCTGTAGAAATGGTGAGAGCTCCCATGGCATTGAAGGAGCCAAATTTCTATCATGCCCAACATTTTTTCCCCATACCTTGTCCCCCTGCCACTTTACTGCTCCCTAACAATGATCTTCACTCTCTCCCCACTCCAATTATCTCCCTCATTGCTCTCTCCTCCCACCTTCCGTCTGGACTTCCGTGCACTGATCAGCACACCTTTTCTCCTCCTTCCAGCCCTCCTTCCTCATTTTCAACTTTTCACCAACATCCTGCCTACTTCCTCTTCTCGTAATCCTGATGATCTCTCTCTCAGATCCTTCCTAGCAATCAGACAAGCATGGGATGCGCACACACCCGTTTGCCATATTTTGTCTGTCCTAGACTGACCTTCGGGTTTTCTTATAAATAGCATAAAAAAACGCTGAAATTTTGGGTCTCCGTTAACAGCCTCTCCTAGACTGGGGGGAGGAGAAGAGCAGGGTAAAGAGAAACCTGATTCAGTTCTCACAATGCTCACCTGCAGAGCAGACTGCTAGAGACTGGCACAGGAGGCCAGTCAGGGGTTGCGTTGCAGAGAAAAAATGAGTTGGGGAGCAGGCATTGCCTATGCTAAGTGGCCACCCCTACATACCGCACAGGACTGGTTCAGGTGTAGCATGTGGAAGCACCGGATCCAATTCTCACAGTTGCAGTTTCTGGATTGAATGGCACAGTGCAGATGGTTGTCACAGGCAAGGTGGCCCGGCATCCATTAAAGTTGGAATGATACAGAGACGATTACCCCGGCTCCTGCTCAAGTATGATGCGAATAAAAAAGTTATATAGGCAACCCCTGTCTATAGATAGGACATCCCATGTGAGGGTGTCAACATGAGTATAATGTTGACCGTCATCACAAATATGAAAACAAAAACTTGCATGGGTTATACCCTCATAATACTCATGGCACAAAGAATGTCGACCACATGACAACCGAACAGATAGGCAGGTCCTTGCATTGCGGGCATGGAGAACGTTTCTTGGGATGCACAACCGGCATTGCCTGTCTGTCAGCAGGTGATGATGGCACCCCATCCAAAGTGAGAATGTTTAGCTGTTGCAAAATCTGGTGCGCCACTTCTCGCCCTGAAGGTGATAACCTTTCAGCATGGCACACTGTATGTGGTTCATGTGAAAGTCGGTTTTCCACCTCAGGCTGCTGTCTGCTCCCTGTCATGAGAGGATGGAAAAGGTTCAATTACAGGTGCAGCCGGAGGAGGCCCAGTGCTACGTGTGGGACATGAATGGAGAGGATGTGGCAGATGATGGCATCGGGGAAAGCCCACGCAGTAACGACACATACTGTCGGTGACTGCTTCCTGAAAACGTCGGCGACACATGGCATGTTGCTGACATAACAGCAGGAATGCAGACTCGCGCTCAAAGTTATTCAAGCACGGGATGTGAAGGCAACAATGGCATATCGGGCAACTAATAAGAGGGCGGGGGGAATGAATGCAAGAAAAAATGGGTCACAGTTATCATGGTAAAGGCTGGTAGTGACCATCCCTGGATGGTAATGATCCAAGCGGAGATTATATCATGCACCTCCTTATTGGACTTGTGCCTCTGTGTTCACACAAGGGCATGGCACAATGACGGTCCAATCCTCGCAGGTAAGTGCCTCATCCTGGCCAGCGTGAGGGGAGGCGGGAGGGTCAGCCAGATTGTACCCTGGAAGCAATCGGGCATCACCTTCTCCAAGGTGCGACCAAGCATCCAGATGTGGTTTGAGATTAGCGAGCCAGAGCAAGTGGGACTCGGCCACCTGGTGCTAGTAAGGAGGGGTAATATGACCCGTCGAGTGCACCCTTCTGCCATTATCACACGAAGTCCATAAATTGTCCGCAAAGTTAATAACACTGAAATGACCCGGCGGATGCAGGGCATACACAGAAACATCTGGGTCCATTGCGTGCATATAATTCATTGGCGCGCAGGCTGGAGTGTCGTTCTCTTACCATGAACGGCATAGACAACTGTCACTTTGACATTCGCACCAGCTGCATATGGTCATCCTCTGCACAAACAGTATGGTCCTCCGCTCCTACCCAGCGGACTATGTCTACTAAGTCAGAAGTCAGAAACAGTGTAGGGGTCGGCATTATATACGTGCATTAATGGCACAGACAGACCGTGTCCTGGTCGTAACACACTGGTAATTTGGCTCTGCAGAGTGCATGACAGGGCGAGGTTCATTTCAGTCTCCGCAGTCTCTGCCAGGCACTTCGGGCCCTAATGACTCCAATGGCTCTGGAAAGTGTTCCGGAGATAGATCGCCACCAGATGGGGATTCCATCAAGTGGTTGGAGAGTGCATGATTGTTGCTTGGAAGAGGAAAGGAGGAAAGGGTGGCAGTGAGGTGAGGAGGAGAGCAATCGGGCATAGTAAAACGTTCTATTCAGCCGTAACAAGTGCTCTCCGAACCGTGCGAAATGGTCGCCCATCACACGGCTCTCCAACCTGAATAACCTTTGTGGCGTGCCTGACACAGTGGAATTTGCTTACGCTGTGCTTAAAGAAGATTTGGCCATCGTTCTCTTAAGATAAGAAAGGCCTCCTTATCTATCGGTAGCGGTATGCTTGGACGCTGGTTGACCTGATAAAGAAAGCGACCGAGGTGAGAGGAAACAGAAGCTGATCAGCCGCACTTGTACCCAGGGAGGCTGCTAGTCGTGCAAATGCCAGACGAGTGTTTGCACACTGTCTGATGCCCCATGCAGGCCTGTAGTACTGCAGAAATGTGGACACCAGACTCGATATGTGCTGTTCCTGGCTTGCGTGTATTGGGAGCGACGGCGTCGTTCCCTGACATTGTGAGCATGGTGGCGGAGAAGGATCTCTGACTTCCCCCGGGGGTGCAGTGATCATATTGTTCATGTACAGGCGAGGCTGCTGTCGGGGAAGAAAACGTCTGCACCGGAGATGCACATGTCATGGCCAATCTGACCACGAATGTATCGATGATGACGATGATGATGAAGGAAAGGAGAAAGAAGAAGAAGAAGAAGACGAAGAAGCGGAGGCAGTACATGGAGGGTATAGTGAAGCAGGAGGAGCAGGGGGGGAGAATCCGTAGGGTAAGGGGGCGGCAAGTGATTAGCACCCTGCTCAACTAGTCCACTCGGCTCTTTTTCTTGTTAATCACCTGCAGGATTCGGCCACAGTCATTCTTCAGTCTATGGTGGCACACTCTGCGGCAGGAACAATGATAGGGTGCTGGCAATCATCCCCTGCAGCCATATCATGTTTTCTGTTGTGGCAGGCTGAGTTTCTGTCGGCACTGTAGCATCCCAATTAGCAGTGGCTGGTCCCCTGGCAACAACTGGGAAGTGCGGGGCTGCAGTGTGTGGATGTAGAGAAGAATGATACTGCCTCAGTCTGCCTGTGCTAAGAATTGACAATCAGCAGTGAATGGACAATTGAGCAGCAAACAATGCAGCAAAGCCAACTCATATCGGGTGACGTGAGTGGGAAGCCAAAGTGTTTGGCGATGCACATAGGCGGTCCGTCTGTGTTCGTGTGTGTGTGTGTGCATCGTCATGTGCGCTATACACAGCTCCACAAGGAAAGCATGGCTGTGCCAGACCATGTGTGTGTGTCTGTGCGCGCGTGCCTGTGTGTAGGCGTGATGATGTGAATTTGGCTTATGAAAGTTGCTTTGAATGAGCATATGACCTTTTTGTTTTTTGAACTCGTAAACTAGGTAGTCTTGTAACCTGAAGTCAAACAAAGTACAAGATGGTGAACCCCTGATTTTTCTTTCATTGTCAACCCAGATACGACTACCCGGTAGCAACAGTGATGTATCTATCATACATGTGGATTGACCAAGTCCTGGATGCTCTGGACCTCTGGATTGTGGAACACTTTAAATATCAAACCATGCGCTGAAATACACACGGAGTCCATACGGTCGCAGAAAAAGGAAAGCTGAACAACCTGGCAGCAGCAGGTCTCTGAAAAACTGCAGCTTTGAAAGAGAGAATGTAACTGTTGCATGAGTATCACCAGACGTAGATATTTCTTCACATGGGGTCTTCGTTAGCGCCACAAAAGGTGTACTTCTCACCAGGGGCAGCAGCTGTTTCATGAGAACGCCATATGCAGGCGACCTAATACTTCAGTCTGTGAGTCTTTCGACCTGGAGCCAAAATGATAGAGGTCTCGGTAACATAGGTCGCATTGTTGTATGTGGGAAGCGATCGGGTTTCTCTGACGGCCACTGTTGACGAAACCGCGGAAAGGCTACTCCGTTTGCTTTTAAGGGCACGATCCAAACGCTCAAGTGCTGCGAGGCACCTCCCTCCTGATAAGCCAGTACTCTCTGAAGAGGTATTCTTATCGTAAGTGGTCGCAAGCGGCGAGATATTCCCCGATACGATGGTGGAAAGTACAAGGTGCCAACGTAGGACGGATTGGTTTCATCAGATCTTGACAGGTCAACGTCCGTGTCTGTAACGTTCACAAAAATTGCAAAACAAACGGGACTGGATCTGTCAATTGTTAGGTTTTGCAATGCAAGGACTTCAACCGATCGTTTCCCCATTCCCGGGTCCCTTGGGGGACACGTCAGATGCACCAAAACGGGCCATCCATGTGTCGTCATCATCTTTGTGGGCAAGCCAGCATTACTTTGTAAGGCAATTGGAAAACCTCCTTGGGTGGCGGTGACATTTCCTGAAGGTCCTGAAGGAGAAGCATCCACGCCAGAAATTCTCCTGCTCTGCCAACTTCGAGGAGACTGTCTTCGTATTGCATCGTTTTCTGTCTTCTGCACGTGTTTTCGGTTAATTCTGGCGTGCTGGTGATTGTCGATGTAGCCAATTGACTGCCTCATGAGCATGAGTTTCCGGCTGCAATGCGGTGGACAATTGATGACCGAGTCCATCGACTCTGCGCTGAAGTGAGAAGGGTGGTCGGCTGAATCAGTGAAGTCCACATTGGGAGATGGTGGAACTACTGAGGAAAGCCCTGAGCTGACGGAAGGCTGGGATGACCATAAGGGCTGTGTGAGTTGCAAATCTACTGAATCTGAGAAATGGTTTGATGCATGGTCTGATTGTGGCTGTGAAGGAGATGACGAGTCCTTGTGTTGCGGTGGAGATAGAATGGAAGTTCTCTTCGCTTGCCTTTCTTGCGCAGAAAGTTTGCCGCCTCCAATTATGGCATGCCCAACTGCGCGTTGGTGCGTCAAGTTTGACTTGACGGAGGCCTCGGAATGTGGTAAGGATGAAGAAGGATGTTCTACACACCCGGCCTGCATAGTCGATACTTTTTGAGCAGTGGGAGATGATGATAATGTTGGCGAGAATGGAGAACTCCCAGCAGCGAGTAATGATGCATCCAGGGGAGATGGCAGTGATTGTCGCGATTCTGGGCCGCGACAACTCGAACCAGAATCACAACTTTTTATTGACCGATTTGCCATGCTTGACTCTGAAAAAATCGAATGCCCAGATGAAATTGCTGCATATAGTGAGCTCGGCTGTGAAAAGGACCCTGAAGTTCCGGAACGCAGTCGGCGCCCTCTCAGCACAGGTGGACTCGATGGTGGAGGTGGGGGTGAATTCACTGATGGACGCGATCCAGCTGGTTTACTTAGGCCGTTCATCCATGGCATAGCCACTGCTTCATAAGTGTACCTGAGGTCCCGTTTCATGTTCGCAACGTCCTTCACATAGATGGACACCAGTTTCCGCTCGTGATCGACGAACAAGAATTGCGAGTCAAGCCAGTCTTTGCTCTGCAACACACGACAGCCAGAAAAAGCGACACAAGAAGAATCAGCTGTACCTTGCCCAGAGGCCAAATAGTATGCCGTGCTGCGCACGGATGAGCATAAGATCGAAGCATTAAGACAGCCATCATTTGATGCCCTCACGGTGAATGAGCTGCACACATCCCAAGGTATGAAATCACATCTTGCAGCTCATATCGAACCCACCATCATGTGGCTGCAAGTCTGAAGCAGTTCAAGTTTTGCATACAGCACGGCTGAGGAAGAGCAAAACACACACCACCTCTCCTATCACCCAAGGAAATGATAGATGCGTACAGTGTACACACTTGTGACATTTATACTTTTGTAGCATATTGCCATATACTAGTGTAAGAGTCAGACTGTTAGACTATATATTATATGCTATATCGCATTACACAGTTATACATTCATATAGCTACTCAAAATTTTGCACATATCGCAGGTGTTGCTCCCTACATTTGCCCCACTTCTCTAGCCCAGACAAGAGCCAAACAGGCCCCAATGCAACGGAGTGAAAGTTTGTGAAACCTGCACCTACCCTCCCACCGTTGCAAGGGCAAGGGAGTTTATGTCTCAATCATGGCAAACCTACCAAACAAGTAAATGCAAGCTGATATGAACTTCATTTTTTCAGTACTATATATCATTATATTAAGAAGTCAGGAGGAAGTGTCCTTCGGGACATCCGTTATAAATTGGAACGATACAGAGAAGATTAGCATGGCCCCTGCGCAAGGATGACACACGTTAAAAAAAAAATAAAAAAAAAATGTCAGGAGGAAGTAAGGACGTTAAGGCGAGGTAAACCTTTTGGACCCTTCACATATGCCAAAGTTGTGAAGATACTCGTAGGTTAGGTCCGTTGAGTTAGCTAGTTATGGTAATATCAGCCTTGGGCACTGGGCCTGGTTAAAAAAAAAAAAAAAAAAAAAAAAAAAGGTCCATCGAGTTAGGTCAAAATTGTCAGGTTGGAGTCCATTGGTCAGGTCTTCAAGTCCGGTCTGGGTCAAGGTTAAGGTGTGGGATAGAGTCTGGCCTTCGGCCTATAACCTAGGCCAGTGGGCCCAGAGTGTGCAGAGTTTGGCAAATAGCCTAGGCCAGTTTGAGCCCAGAATGTACCACTGGTACTGGAAAGGAAGGTCAGGATGTGGGATAGAGTTTGGCAGATAACCCACACCAGTAGGGCCAGAATGTATCACTGTACTGGGAAGAAAGCGCAATAGGTGTCCTTCAAGACATCCGTTAAAATTGGTACCGAATCTACCGATACAGAGAAGATTAGCATGGCCCCTGTGCAAGAATGACACACATAAGTCGAGAAATGGTCCCAAAATAAAGAAAAAGAAAAAAGAACTTTAAAGAAGCGCAATGGGCCTACGAATCCAGGAACCATGGGGTTTGAAAAAGGGATTGACCTCACTCCAGCAGGTAGGTAGATGGGTGGAAACTAGTGTGTCTGGTGACTGGCTACTATCTGGGAAAGCTGCTGGTGCACCTGGTAGTTTGTGCTCAGGGGACAGGGCGGTTACCCATACATTTATTAACTAATACCAGTCTTTGAATCATAAGTTGGACCAGTTACTGAACATAAGTGTATACCAGCAATGATTCAGAACTGGAATGGAGTGTCACAGAAGAGTGGCACTAGCATTCCCTGGTGATCACTGTAGGAGGAGGTTAAACTGCTGAAGACTGACATTGCCGTGAAGGGGAGCAGCATTGGAGTTGGGAGTTGATTGTGAAAGACTGAGCGATGTTAGCATACGTGAGAGCAGCAACTGCATTCTTGGAGGTGGAGTTGAGTGGCCCAACATTTCCAGAGGTTGGCGTTGAGGGCACTGGTCCAGCAACAGTGGGTGGCGCTGCACTCCATGTTCATTGGATAGAATCAAATGATTGCAGACATAGCACAATGACTCCGGGCACACACACACACACAGAATCAAGTGAGTGCAGACATAGCACAATGACTCCAGGCACGCACACACACACACACACACACACACACACACACAGAGAGAGAGAGAGAGAGAGAGAGAGAGAGAGAGAGAGAGAGAGAGAGAGAGAGAGA